GTGGGTTGCTCTTACCGTCACTACCGGTATGCTGATCGCGGTCTGTTCATGCACATACCTGATGTGCGCTGCACACGCATGCACATTCCACCGCCCCTGCAACAACCAGCTGCTTGTTGGGGCTCACGCAGGCACCGCACGCTGTGCGCACATGTGCACTTTGTGATTTGCCGTAAAAGCAGCAATAGAGCGCGGGTGGGTGGGCAAACGAACCACCGTACTGGTATGCTCTAAGCTGCTCCTGGTCACTACCGGTATGGCCATACCTGCAGCAACGCATCTCTGCCACGCACGCTCCCCCCCCGTGCCCCATTTTTGGTCTCAGGAGGCTCCAGGAAGTCCTGCTTGGCCCAAACTGGAGTATGGGTGATCACATGTGCATGCACAGGGGCAGGGCATGCAGGGGCGGTTGTATGCGCATTGCATTATGGGTGTGGGTACGTGCACTTTCGGCATGCAACAATAAAAAGGTTAGCCATTACTGAGTTACTGGAATCCTTTTGTACAGGCTCCTATTGTATTTCTATAATACATTCGATCAATCAAAAATTCTTGTATCCTGGAGGACTTGATTATCTGCTCCCCGACAAGCAGGTTTGAAGAAACTTTCTCTTCTTGCTGATTTAATAGCCCTCTTGAAACAATCTCCTGTTAAAGACTCCCCATACCAAACATTGTAAAACGGTACCTTCAAAAAACTTTCTTGACTATTACTACATTCCGAAATCTTACCAAGTCAGAACAACTGGTCAGTATGAAAGAGCCGAGGTGGCGCAGTGGGTAGAGTGCAGTACTGCAGGCCACTTCAGCTGACTGCTAGTTCAGCAGTTCAGCGGTTCAAATCTCACCAGCTCAGGGTTGACTCAGCCTTCCATCCTTCCGAGGTGGGTAAAATGAGGACCCAGATTGTGGGGGCGATATGCTGACTCTGNGAGCTCTATTTACACAAGCAGAGGGCTGCAGGAGACTGTCACAGCCAAAAACGGAACTTGGGAGCAGCACGTGTGGCCCTTCTGAGCTCCGTTTTCACAAGCAGAGGGCTGCAGGAGACTGTCACAGCCAAAAACGGAGCTTGGGAGAGGCGCATGTGGCCTTTCCAAGCTCCATTTTCACTGGCAGAGGCACTCCATGGGCCAGTCCTTCAGTGTTTCCAAGGAGGCTCTGCGGGCCAGATCTAAGCACCCCACCAGCCGGATCTGTCCCCCGAACCTTGATTCCCTGATTTAGATACTACCAAGGGTTTGGTCAGCTTAGTTACACTTTCTCTGCTGAGCAGTATAGCTAATTCTTGGCTGTTGTAGATATGGGAGACAGGTGTCTATGAAAACTCTGCAATGGAGTGCCCCATGAATATTTCTCTGGCCAAAAGTTAAGTCTCATTTAGACCTTGGATGAAAAATGGTTTCTAAGTTGCAGCAAAGATTGATTCATTTAAATGTACTTTCAAAGACCCTGGGGGCAAATCCAGTGAGTTTCAGGTATCACTATTTTAGCAGGCAATTACTGTCAGTTTTCAATATGCAAAAACTTCAAACTTTTCCCCCCTCCTTTATACAAAGGCAAACCCAAAATAGAGTCTAGGCAAGAAATATGTGCACATCCAAAGAATAAACTCTGTTCTGTTTTATTGCAAGGCCTAATCTAAACCTATTAGCAGATGTTCTTATGGATTTCCGCAAAAGGTTGGGCAAAAGGTTGGATTACATGATCTTCAATTCCAACAATCTTTGATTTCATGAACAGCAACATTGCTTATCACTTACTGAATGACAAACTTAAAATACAAATGATTTATGTAAGTCATGGAGCGGAATAAAAACTGACTTGCTCAGTCAGATTGAAATCCGCCCACATTTCTTTTTCTTCTGCCATGAGCAATCAAAATATTATTAAGAAATTACAATCATGTTGCAAGGTTGATAATCTTCTATTCCCCTGTTCTCTCCTGCTGGCTTCTGGCCCTTGGATGTATATGGCCTTGAAGCATAAATATTTCATACAACTAAGAGGATTGCTGAATGAATTTGTTGATTTTACAGTATTTTATATAAGTATCTTCTTTGGAGGTTGATGACATTGTCATCATAATCTTTTTCTTTGACACTTTGGTCATCATATTCATTCCTAGCGGGTTGATTTATGGATTTTTCACAATTGTAGGACCAGCAATCATGGTATCATTTTTTGAACTCATCGACTGTGATATGTTCATACATCAATAGCCCTTAGACTTATATACCACTTCATAATGCTTTTACAGCTCTCTCTAAGTGGGTTACAGAGTCAGCATATTGCCCCCAACAATCTGGGGCCTCATTTTACCAATCTTGGAAGGATGGGTCAACCTTGAGCTGGTCAGGATCGAACTCTTGGCTGTGAGCAGAGTTAGCCTGCAATGATGCATAACTGCTGTGCCACCACAGCTCCCGTATATGACAAGTTTGTGTTTCTGGCAGTGTGCAGTTTTCATGCCATCTGGTTCTGCGTGAATGTCTGCATTTTGTATTCAGTACGATCTTTGGTGTTTTTGTCTCTTGTTCACATATTGTATTATTTCTAAGAGCCGAGGTGGCACAGTGGTTAGAGTGCAGTACTGCAGGCCACTTCAGCTGACTGCTATCTGCAGTTCGGCGGTA